AAATTATTATATTTGTCGTCACTTAGTATTGTACAGGGTGTTCAAAAAACTGCTTAATACTTCTTTCAACTTTAAACAGCAATAACTTGGTTATTTTAAATGGGACACCCAGTATATTTTAATTTGGAAGTTATGAATTTTAAAACTCTTTCAAACTGTGTATAGGTTCCCTTTGTCCCCTAGTTCTATTTGTGTCATTTCATGTTTTATCGATTTTTTTTGTAAAATGTATCCACGTGTCTTCATCGAGTTCTTTATTGGATTGGGTTGGGTTCTTCTTGACCTTTCTTTAAGTATAATGAGAAAAATGGTGCACCTTCAAATTTTTCATATTCAGTGAAAAATTATTTAAATCGAAAATTTAGTAATAAATGGATTAGTAAGAATGGTGCATATCAGTGGCCACTTAGATATCCAAACCTCACCGTAATGGACTTTTTTGTTTCGGGCTATACAAAAAATTTTGTACACAGTGTTCCAGCTACTACTACAATCACCCCAGATATTCTAACAAATGTGAGGATATCATTTGAAGATATAATAAGATGCTCTATTCAAGAGAATGGTTATCAATTCGATCATCAATTAATATTTTTCTTTGTTTCTTTTAAAACTAAAATTTCTTTTAATATTTTTTATGTTGTTCCTAATTAATTACAACAAACATATTTATACAAAATTAATAACTATTTATAATTATTCTGCTTATAAAATAATATTTTTTATTAGAAATCTTTTTTGAATATTGTTATGATTAACGCTTTCCCAATTCAATAAAGACCTCAATAAAGACATGTTGATACATCCTACAAAAAAAATTCTATAGAAAAGCCAAATGGCATAAATATCTCCAATACCGGTAGAGATAGGTATAGAGAACCGATACATAGTTTGAAAGAGTTTTAAATTTTCTAACTTCCAAAGAAAAAATATACTGGGTGTCCCATTTAAAATCACCAAGTTATTGCTGCTTAAAGTTGAGAGAAGTATCAAGCAGTTTTTTGAACATCCGTATAATACTAAGTGACGACAAATATAATAATTTATAACTTCAAGGATCTAAAATACACTCTCCAAAGATGCTTCCTTATAATTATTTTTTTATTGCTAATATTAAATTTCTGCGCTAAGCCTGTATTTTCACTAAAATTGAAATATTGTACAAACAATAAGTCCTAGGCTATGCAGAACCTTTAATAAAGTTCACCTGCTCTTTTACGGTGCCTTCAAAAATGCAGTAAAATACAGGGTGTTTCATTTAAAAATACATAACTTTAATATGGTACGCTTTTCTTGGATACCCTGTATAATCCAAAATATTTTTAAAATGTAGCCGTAATCAACCTACACGTACCCACCTAAACGGGTTTCTATAAGATTTGCCGTTTGGTCCCTAGCGACCGAGGTGTTACTGGTGGCCCACTCTGTATATATAAGAAGAGACCAAAAATTAAATTTAAATTGAAAAAAATTCAAATTTTTATACAATTTTCAAGAATAGTATGGGATGGAAACTACCCTCACATAAAATTTCATACATTTTCAAAAAATCGTATGCAATCCATGTCAAGCAAAAACAAATTAATTTATATGTACATATATAGACAATTTTTTTACTTTTAGACAACCTCTACCAAAAGAATTTTGCTATGGGGAAGTAGATTACCCTCACATAAAATTTCATGGATTTGTAAAAGGTCTATGGAACACTATAAAGACAAAAACTGTAGATTTAAATGGGAAAAAAAAATTTTAAAATGTAGCTGTAATTAATCTACACCTACCCACCTAGGTTTCTATAACATTTGTCATTTGATCCTTAGTCACCGAGGCGTTACTGGTGGCCCATTCTGTAGACCCCAATGATAATTCTTATCCCGAAAGTTGTTTAGAGGCTAGAAATTTTTCTATATATTACATTACGGCTTTTTGTTTATTACAACCCCCAGAGATTTCATGAGAGTACATCAAATTTTATGTGAGGTAGTTTACATTCCAAACTATAATTATATAAATGGAAAATCGTTTTTTGAAAATTGTCTGTTATATTCTTTTCCATTTAAATTTACAGTATTTTTTGTTCCATTAGTATTCCATAGACCTTTTGCAAATCCATGAAATTTTATGTGACGGTAATCTACTTCCCCGTTCAAAATTCTTTTGAAATTAGTTAAAAGTTAGAAATTTTTCTACAGGGTGTATTTAAATGGAGGGGCACAAATGATACCAGAGAGTCCTTGGATGAAAATAAGTCCATTTAACCTAACATAGCTATATCCCAAGTCGCATAATAAAAAAGATACAGGGTGTCAAAGTGAAAAATAAAAAATGGTTTTTCCTAAATAATTTCTATAATTTTAGTCAGAAATGTTTCAAATTTTCAATAGTGAGATTTTTTAATGACGGGAAAAATAATATAATAATGATTTTTGGGTATCGAGTACGAGGCGCCCTCTGCAGGCAACGTTATGTACTGAATATGTAGTAACTTTTTTGCTAACCCCCGTATACAGCTTTTAGTAACAAAATATGAAATATTGGACTTTTTTTAACAAAAAAGGTATACTTATTGAAAATGGCTAAAGCCAACCGTTGAGAAGATATTTTTAATTGGGACAATATTGGGAGTTGCTCATTTAAAAACCTCAAATATTCGGCTCCGCCGAGACGCCGAGGAAGAATAAACGGACCAATAAGATAATCTCCTACGATTCCTGCCCATACATTTAAACTAAAATTATGTTGAAATTTGAATATACAAACGCTTCATTAGGTGGCTGAATGTAAGCAATGGAATTTTAAACCATATTATAGTAATTTACATCTACTTCTAATGAAAAATTTAGTTAAAATTATAACATTAGCTTGTCATGGTGACGATTTTCGTCAGACCATGAGTGATTATTGTGATGGTTCACTAAACCATGTCTTTGAAATGACGCTTCGTCTCCAAACAAAATACTGGATAAATTATTTCTGTTTTCCCTTGAAATGTTCATATACCATTGACAAAAATCTATCCTGTTAAGTAAATCCGCAGCAGCCAATTCCTGCACAGGTAGGGGATAAAAGATTATCATTCGCAATTTTCGTAGTATGGCAATCGTAGTATGTGAAACATTATACTGTGTCGCCATTTTTCTGGTACTAGTTTCAGAATTCTGATCTTGTAAATTGCCAAGCAAAACTTCTTCAAGTTCTACATCGCGAATAAGACGTCTTCTGTCAGGACGACCTTCAGGATGAGGTTGAATGTATCCGTTTCCTCGAAGTCTTCTTTCTACCGCCGCAAAAGTTTTTCTAGCAGGAACACGACGATTGGGATATCTGGAATGATAAAGTCGTACAGCTGCAGCACAGTTCTTGTAACATTCAAAAAAATACTTGTAACATATCGACATACTCGTCATTAGTATACATAATTTGTTATTTTATTCAATTCCAAAACTATTTAATATCAAGGACGCAGGTAAATAGTGACTAAAATCAATTAATACTTTAAACTAATACTTCAAAATTGCAATTTACGAGTATTATCAAATGACATTTACCTACCCGATTTTTTTATTTATTTAAGCAACTCGAATCTTGGTATTCGTAATCCGTAACAATAATTTATGAAATTAAGAATATCTCCCCAACGGTTGGCTTTAACCTTTTTCAATAAGTATACCTTTTTTGTTCAAAAAAGTCCAATATTTTATATTTTGTTACTAAAAGCTGTATACGGGGGTTGGCAAAAAAGTTACTGCATATTCAATGCATAACATTGCCTGCAGAGGGCGCCTCGTACTCGACACTAAAGAATCATTATTATATTATTTTTCCCATCATTAAAATACCTCTCTGTTAAAAATTTGAAACATTTCTAACTAAAATTATAGAAATTATTAAGAAAAAAACATTTTTTATTTTTCACTTTGACACCCTGTATCTTTTTTATTATGCGACTTGGGATATAGGTATATTAGGTTAAATCGACTTATTTTCATCCAAGGAATCTCTGGTATCATTTGTGCCCCTCCATTTAAATACACCCTGTATATTTAAATTTAAATTTTTTTGCATGACATGGATTTCATAGGATTTTCTGAAAATGTGTGAAATTTTATGTGAGGGTAGCTTACATCCCATACTGTAATTTTGCCAATGGAAAATTATTTCTTGAAAATTGTACAAAAATTAGAATTTTTTTTCAATTTAAATTTAATATTTGGTCCCTTCGTATAAGTATATAGGGTGTTGTAAAATATTGTACAAAGAATTCTGGAGCAGATTCTATATCCAAAAATACGAAACAAAATTCCTATTAAAGTATGTTCGTAACTGCTTCGTTTTGGAAATAGGTAGTGCAAAAAAAAATAAAATAATATGTTTTGTATTGATAATTTTTAAATTTTTCATTAGAGATAATTTAAATTTGGGTCATTTATTTCTCCGTAGTGACAGCGTTTGTTATTTTTCAGTGACAGTCACCAACTATTTTTTTTTAATCTTTCATAGAGAGATTAGCGTGATTTTTAAAATCTTCAATATTTAGAAAGCCACTCACTAAATGACAAATATGCAAGGGGGCCTTTTAGCTCTAAAATAAATCAGGATCCTAAAAATAAAGTAAAACTCAGTAGAAAAAACAGTGACGTAGATTTTTTGGTCAAAAATCAATAGGTGCTCCCCCATATCTACGCCCCTAATTGGTCTGAAACGTGTTGACCCAAATTGAAAAGTTTTTAATGAAAAATTTAGAAATTATCAATAGAAAGTATTGTTTTTTTAATTTTTATGTTTTGACATCCTCTATTCTGGAACAAAGTGTTTGTGGAATCTACGCTTATAGGAATTTTTTTTAGTATTTTACGATGTAGAATTTGCTGTAAAATTCTCTGAATAACATTTTGCAACACCCTGTATAGACTGTAATGATAATTTTTTTCCCGAAATTATTCTAAAAATTATAAATGTATACAGGGTGGTCCCGAGGTAATGGGCCAAAATTCATGGGTAGATTCCCCAAGTAAAAATATTGCGATTTAGCCGAACTTACCTTAGTCCAAAAGTTGATAGTTGAAGAGATACAGGGTGTTAAATGTAAAATATTATTTCAGTAATTTAATGCAACAGCATTGGAAGTTTCAAAGCCAAATATCTCGAAAACGGTGCGAGATAGCTACTTTAATAAAGTATACCTTTTTTGTGTAAAAAAAGTTGAAAAATAAGAATTTGTTACCAACTATGAGATACTTTAAAGTACAAAAAAGTTATGTCGTTTTTAACACATTCGATCTACTGCAGCTAGCGCCCTCTATGAACTTTAATCAAAATGTGAACAAATTTCAATTCCTCTATCCAAACAACTCCAAACCTCAAAATTTTGTGTAGATATTTGCATTTATTAAGAAATAAATGGAAATAAACTAAAATAATATTTTACATTTAACACCCTGTATCTCTTTCACTATCAACTTTTGGACTAAGGTAAGTTCGGCTAAATCGCAATATTTTTGCTTCAGGAATCTACCCATGAATTTTGGCCCATTACCTCGGGACCACCCTGTATACAGGATGTCCCAGAATAACGTGTACAATGGAAGACCACAGATTCGTGGACTCAAAATAGGCAGATTTAGGCTAATTCACTTATGTCCAAAATCGCTTCGTTTGGCCGCTAGATGGCATTGAAGTTCCTGAAGATTTTTTTGAATTTTGTAAACTCGAATTTGATTATTTTTGGGATGTGGCCTTCTGCTTTCAATCTACGTATTTTGGTGGTATACAGAGCGTTTTTTTAAAACTTACAACTCCTACAAAATGGATGTATAGTGATAATATCCATTCACAACTTTTTCCTCTTTCGGGTAATGACAACTATTTTTTATTTGATAGGTACCATTTGGAAGTTTTTGGGACTCTTGTAGAATTTTTATTAAATAAGCGGTTTGGGTACAAAAAAAATTTTTTAATGTATACTTTATCTTGCCACCCATATTACAGTACTTAACAAAGTGGTGGTAGTCACTGATTATGAAGGTTGACTGTAATTTCAGTTTGATCTTTAAGTCATTGTGTCTGCCAATTCTTAATGAGTGTTTACTTTGATAAAATATACCACATGCTCAATCATTTTTCGATATGCATTTTCATCATTTCAAAGCATTGCAGCAAGTCCCAATATTATATGTGATAGAAGGATAAAATTGTTTTTAAAAAGTAAAAAAAATAAAAGTATTGAGAGTGCGTAACTTTTTAAGAAATGAAAAATGTAAATATTTATCTTCATTGAATGTATATAATTTTTATACAGTTTATATGAAATGATTGGATGAATGGAAAAGAAAGCAAATTATTGCTATAGAAACATATTAGATGTTTTATTAAAAATAAAAAGCTATAAGAGCATTTTGTGAAAAATATGAAATTAAGGAATAATTAAGTAAACCAAAGTTTATTACAGAAAAAATTACATAAGGAATGTTAAATAAAAAATTGTTGATATACAACTTGAGAGGAAGGTCTTATCATAAGAAGTTGGATAATATAAGAAATCGTTAGACAATTTATGAGGTAATTGTTTCATAGGTTTTTAATTATTTGCATTGGAAAGCATTTTTCAATACATTATACTGGATGGGAAAATATATAGGTACCTATTTATTATTTTTTTGAAGCTAAATGTAGTGATGCAGAAGAATTGTTTTTTCTTCATTAAATATATAATAATGTTTGCATTGGGAGAAAGTTGGAATTGGTTAAATTGTTCTGGAATGGCGAGAATCGTCTTTTTAACCTTCCGGGGCTGGCGCTTGGACTGTTAGTCCACAGCACTTTTCTTCTGCTATTTACGACATAACCATCCCCTTCTCAAATTAGAGCATTTTGGTATTTTTCAAGCATCAAATTAGTCGTATTATATGAGAGCTTAAAAAGTGGGTGCGTTTTTGTTTTTATGTTATAAAATATTGCGGAGTGAGAGTACACCGCCAGTCCTCAATTCTATTTTTGACCTCATTATTAATACAGAGAGATCGAGAATGATTGACCGGATTCTGAACGTACCCTGTCTCAATTACTATCAAAACTGATTTCCGTTTGCTAAAATTACTTTATTTCCGTGAGATTTCATGGTGTTCTGTGGCGATTTCACAATTTGACGTTCTGTTCATTGGCGCACGGATTTTTTGGATTGAATATTATTTTGTAGATTTTGTTGTTACCTGATATATTTTGCGACATTATAAAACAGTATTTTTCAATACTACAGTTAGAGTAGGTGGATATTATACGTGAGTAATTAATTTATTGCGTATGTTGTTCTCTAACCTAATCGGTTTTTTAATTTAGGTTAACATGGCATTTTCATTAGAACATGATAAATTTCTTCTGGAGGCCTATTTTCGTAGTGGACAAAACAATGGTAATGGTTGGAAATATTCGATGAATTCGTGTCATTTACAATTTCAAGAACAATTTCCAAATGATGAAATTGATTATGAAATTTTTTCGAGACACGTGAAGAGATTAGTGGAACGCTTCCATAACACTGGAAGTGTTTGTAGAGGAAAATCTCCAGGCAGAAAGTCTATTCTTACAGAGGAAGTCTTGGAAGATGTTGAAAACCGCTTACGAGCTAGTCCAACCAAATCACTACGTCGGTTATCTGCTCAAACAGGTACTTAATAACAAATATTTATTCTAAAATTTGTATCATTATTCCTAAATTGTTTATAGGAATATCATATGGATCATGCCATAAAGCAGTAAAGAAGTTGCATTTTCATCCTTATAAAGTTAGTGTTGTGCAGGAACTACTTCCGTTAGATTTTGGAAAACGTGTGCAATACTGTAATTGGTTTAACGAAAATCTGAATGACGACGATATTCTAGATCTAACATTTTTTTCTGATGAAGCGTGGTTTCATTTAAGTGGGTACGTAAACTCCCAAAATTATCGCTCTTGGAACACAGAAAACCCTAATATTTTGCGTGAAACAACTCTGCACCCTATTAAACTTGGTGTTTGGGTAGCTATGTCACGTAGAAGAATAATCGGACCATATTTTTTCCGTGAAAATGTAACTGGGCAGGTATATCGGCAGCAAATATTGTTACCATTTTTTGAGGAACTTCACGACGATGAAATCCATCATGGATACTTTCAGCAAGATGGCGCAACAGCTCACACCTCTAACGAAACTTTAGAGTTGATTAGAGAGTATTATGATGATCGAATAATTAGTCGAGATAGATGGCCACCACGTTCTCCTGACCTTACACCCCTAGACTATTATTTATTTGGTTTTTTAAAAAATTCAGTATTTGCTCAACGGTTACACACGATTGAAGAACTTCAAGAGGCAATTACAAACGAAATTAGGAGTATTACACAAAATGTTTTACAGAATGTATTTAATAATATGAAAAGAAGAATTAATACCTGCTTGAACAACAATGGACATCATATTGAACATTTATTGTAAAAATATAGATATTTTTATGGATTTTATGTAATTTTAAGGTAAAATATTCAATAAAATGTGAAAAAATTCCAATTACTCTGTTATTATATATTGCATGTAACTGTTGTTTATTGCTCTCGGTCATACAGACAATCCTACCATCTAACATAATCAAGCACTTCCAACTGCTTGCATTTGCTTGAAGCAAATTTTTTTAAGACACTTTTCCTGAATTTCGACAGCTAACTAAAATGTTCAGCATAAATTTTTGGGCTGGATCGCTTGCGCTGGATATTCAGAAGTGTGAAAGCAGTAGCTGCAAAATAGTCGTCTTATAAGCATACAGCAGTTTGCTTTGATGAAAAACAGCAGCTTGCAGCGTATCGCTGTATAGCTGAATCGTCTTAGATGCCAAGAATGTAGCCACAATAGTGCTTCTGTTTTAAAATTAACTCATAACGTTTTAAAAATAAAATCGCTGAAGCACTTACAGTCGTTATTCAAAATTAGCTACATCAAACTTTGATTTAAAAGTTTTTCTAATTGTAAATGAAATAAGAATTTTGGAAAAGTTAGGCTAAACCTACATTTGATTCTGTCATCCTCTTTAATAATAATAACAATAATAACATTTATTGGTCCATCAGTATTGCTTAATTTGTGAAATAACTTTGATTTTTGTTAAATAATTGATATTTTTATTATGAATTTCCATTTTGACAGTAACCTAATTTATTTGATGTTTGAACGTAATTATTTGTTTACCATTGAAATCCCTCAACCTGCGCTCATGATTCTAGTATTGGTATCAAAAACTGGTATGCCGCACATCAAAAATCAGTATGAGGCGGCACGGTCAATCATTCTCGATCACCCTGTATTTGTGGTAAACGTTTTTGAAGATAAGTAAGTATGATTGGGCAAGAAACACAGGAAGGTGGACTATAGTTATTTTTTATTCCATATTAAATGTAGCTTGAGCCAATTCTATGGTTTTCTACAATCTACAAAATGTGGATAAAAATATGACATGGAGAAAGTTTGTGCACCTGCTGTCTTCTGTGTTGACTGAAAATTATATTCGTTTTTGCGCAACTTTAACTTAAATTGATAATTGATAATACCGTTGCACCTGGTCCCCAAATGCAGGAGGCGCTGCAGTTACTACGACAGGAGAAAAAATCGACCAACGTGTTTTTCTTGCATGTGTATGTCATTTGATACCAATATTTTTGGAATGTCACAGTGTAAAAGTAAATACCTACTTTGATTTTATGGTTTTTAATAGCTAGTTTTAAGAATGTTAACTTTTCTGCTGTATTTCTAATAAAAAAATAATTGCAAACCTTTTTATAATTGCCTCAAATCTAGTATGCGGATTCACAGTCCGCCGCCATCGCCGGATCACAAAAAATTTACGCCAGCACCGGAAGGTTAAAAAGAAAATATTATGTGTACCTATCATAGGAAGTAGATACAATATTTAATATGTTATCATATAAAATGATTTATATCAATTAAGAAAGTCCAAAAATGGAATTGTAATAATTACCTAATGAAGTGGAAGGTCCAGCCTCCAGTAAGTCCTTTGTGGAAGGACCAACTGGCATCTTATTTAATAAGGAGTTTTCCTGTACGGCAGCTTCTGGCTGAACAGTATGCTGTACTTCAGCCAGCCGAGGCATATCTTTGCGAACCATTACTGGTACCTCTGCAGAAGACATAATGGGAGGAGGGGGCAACTCCACAGAAGTATTTCTACTTGCACCTTCAATCACCTCCTCAGGGACAGATCTCCTTGTTGGCTGGCCTCTTATATTAATTCCCTTCCTCTGGGTCAATCGCTTTTTCCCCTTTCGTGGCATAGTAATCTAACAGTAACAGTATAACGTGAATTACATTGAATTATATTGAGAAAAAGGTACTTACCTATTTGCGTTTTCAAAAAAACGAATTTGAATAAAAATTTGTAAATATTTTTATGCGAACAATTCTCGAATAAGACGCACAAAAATTGGCGTGGGTAAGCGTGCGTTACTCGAATATTGTATGAAAATAATTGATAATCGATCACTTGATCTTTTCTGTTGCATTGATGTAATCATAACCATAGTTTTATAACTCGGGGAAAACAGATAAGTTGTCGGTAAAACCAATGTGGATGAAGATTCCCTATATTTAATTAAACCCATAACGTACAGATGGCAGGATTGCAGTCAATTATAATCGTTGAACGAAATAATTACTGTAAAATAAAAATATATCTCTAAATGAATGTTTTTTAAACATTATATAAAAAAGATGACAAATATATATTTATATAGTTCGAGATAAAATTCATTTTTATAAATGCAAAAAATTATTTGTTTTATGCACTTGATCTCGATTTTTTGACATTTGACAGTAGATTTTAAAATGTGTGGAGGGAAATGTCATGTTATTATCATACGTAATACGTAATAGTGATAAACGAAATAATAATTACAATAAAAGCATGTTAAAAATAAACATGTAATATCTGTGATGTGTAAACATGAATGTAGTAACAATAAATGCAAGAAAAATCAGAATTGATTAAACATAAATACTATTGTTTACAATGAAACGGAAAGAAAATATAGATACATCAATTCTTAGAGGGTCTGCATTGTATTACCAATTGCAAAATATGTAGAAATGACTGAAATACATTTCTATGTAACAACGTAAATATGTCAGGAAATAATTCATAAGATGGTAGAAAAAATGTGGATAATGAGTGACTGGGTCCATGGTGTCAACAATAATGTGCAGTCGACTTACTTTAAGACTACAAAACTGTAATGTAGTTTTGTAAAGAGGCAAAGAGAAATGTAGCAGTAAAAAATTACTTGGAGAATTCTTATGTCAATCCCCTCCAAGGGCAAAAAATTGTTGAGAAGTCGCTGATGCCCTAGTAGAAAATTTGGATAAAATTTGACTATACCTTTTTTGGTTTTCAAAATACAGCTACTATTTTATACTTTTTTGGAAACTGAAAGGTTGTATCTCCTAAGGGGTGAACATTTTATTAGTTATTTTTATGCAAAACGTGTTTCTTTAGCTGTAGATTTATCGATATCATATGTACTATTTCTTTTAAAAACACCCCTGTCTAATAATATAAATGTACAAAATTTTTATAAAATGTAAAAATTATTTGGGTTTAGACATTTGTAAAATGTAAAAATGATTTAAGTTTAGTCATATTTAATTTCAGAGAAATGTAGTCAGTAATTTTGGAAGAGAAACATCCTTTATCTCAGATATATAATATCCCCCCAAAAGGAAACTTATTATAGTGATAATTTTTATAATTATTGTTTATTATTTTATAATTAAAATGACTATTTATAATGGTGAAATATGGGAAAACTTTATTTTTGTTAGTAGTGGATTTCTGAAATAAAAAAATTTAATGTTGAATATAGGAATAATTTTTTTCTTATATTGGTTTATACACGTATTTGAGGAATAGGTATTACTAATTTAAATTTTAAACTTGTAAGTGGATAGATAGTTATAGTCATAGACAGTCGCCATATATGTTGCGACAATAGACAATAATTCAAAATAAGAAAAAAAAATTGCTAGGCAGAATAGTGGAGATACCTACATTATTTGAGGTTTGCACGGTCTCTGTGATTTTTCAATTGTTGTTGAAGTTGCTATTAGTACAGCGTTAAGCTTCATGGCTTGGGAGGGTTTTTTGGTTTTAAATTAAGAAAAATTTCTTAACGTAATGGCATTAATTTAAAAAATAAATATCTAGACAGGGTGCTCTTTAAGTATCAATAATAAACTGGATGATACTTTTGATAATTTTAAGGAAAAGCTTTTTTAAAGTATTACATCTAGTCATCCGACTCAAAAAAATGTTTGATGTAAATAAAACAAATTTAGGTTGCTGATTTAAGTAATTAAAAAGATGAACATTCACTGAATTTATTATATCGTGGTGGAGTGAGCATTTGTTAAATTTAAGCAGTTAATTCGATTTTTAATTGTAATATGTAAAAAATTTCCAATATACTTTTTTACTTATACTGAATAAATTTTTTTGTTGTAAATACAATTTAAAATGTAATTATTAAATTTATAAGAAAAAAGATGCCATAAAAATTTTTAATCTTTAGAATGAATTTTTTATCTTTAAAATTAGAATAGAAAATAGTGGTTAATTACTTTACATTTAAAATTGCATCGAAGGTCTTACACCAGTAAGTATTATGGAAAGTCAATCGATACGTGATATTCTTGTTTGTACTGCAAAGAAAAAAATATTTTTAATTTTATTTAAAAAATGAGTCATTTTCAGGATACAGTTTTAGCATAAACTTATTGGACACTAAAGTGGACCAAAAATATTTCGGAAGTAATTAAAAAAAAAAGAAAAATGGAACGTTATGTCGCAAATCTAGTTTTAAATATAATGTGATTAATGAAAGTTCCAAAAATTCATTGGTACAGATTTTTAATTTTTTAGAAAATAGCAAGAGTCAAATCTATGTTACTGAGAATTCCGGACCAGTAAAGGTTATTTATATAATATTAAAATTGTATTTAAAAAAAATCTTGGTATTTCTCGTGAAATAAACCATGGCAATACTTTAAACATTAGTGGATATATATTTAGTAAGTATATCTTTGTTTATTTGTGGTTTGGTTTTCGAATAAAGAAGAAATTTTGGGGCCCTTTACGAATTCTATTTGCATTGCAAAGAAAAAAATATGTTCAATTTTATTTATAAAGTGAGTAACTTTCAAATTAATATATTTTCTACTTATAACAAAGGTAAATAAAAAATAATTTATTAAAAAAATTTTATGCTGTAAGTACAATTTTAAATACAATATATTTGTAAAGTTTTAGAAATTCAGTGTGAGATTTAAAATTTTTTGTGAACATAACATATATTGCCAAATTTGTGCCACGTACAAAAAAATATATTGGAATTTTTTTTATGAAACAAACATCAGTTTTTTGTCACTGTATTGATGGAGAGACATATTCAGTACGTATTTCTTTATTTGGCTATAATACTTGGGACTTCCTCTTATAAGGTTGCGATAAAAAAAATGGCCTTTTTTTATCGAACCTAAAAATATGTTTCAAATTAAAGCACCATGTACATTATTTATAATGTTGAATTGTAAATGAAAATGTTTGAGACGTCGTTTTAACTGCAAAATATTTTTCTAAATTAGTAAGTTACAGAAATGTTATCTTGAAATATTAAATAAAATTGGCAACAATAAACATGTATGTTGAATCTTTATGTAGTTCCATAAGATTTCTACTTACTTGGTTTCTGATATATATGTAACCTTCACAAATGTTTCAATTTCTAAAATATTAGTGAAAATACTACATAAAGAAAATGTTTTTGGTGTAAAGGAAAATAAAAAAATTTATTAATCAAATGTAATCTTTATTGGAAAACTTACAGCACCGAGAGACAGGTTTACTTACATGTTCAGTTATTAAAATGACTGCCCTAAGGAAAAAGCACACAAAATCTTTGAAAAACTTTGTCTTAATTTAACACGTTTCATGTTCCCATAATATTCTCACGTTGCACTCTCGAACATTTTTTACTTTTTTATCACCAAGTACAGGAAGTCCAACAACTTGACAAAAACAGCAACATTTGGATAAGTATTGACTGGATTCTTGTATATCTACTGGAATGGGATTGAAATTCAACATATTCAGCTAGATAGCCATCGTCCTGTATATTGTAGCCATTAGTGGAAAACTGTTTGTGCATCTTGTTAGGTTACAATGTATTTAATGCGACATATCCAGATGAAAAAGCATATTTATGTAGGGAGTGTGACATGTAATAAACCCCTTCGAAAAGCCCAAAAGAGGTTAAGTTTTTTACTGTTGACCCAGAATTTTATAACTTCTTTTACAGTGTAACTGGGAAGCTTACTTGTTCTTTAATAACTCTGGGTCTAGTGAATATAGTCTTGAAGTTTTAAATGCCAGTGCCAGTGTTAAATAAAATACTAAAACTCATGTGTATTTGGCCGTGTTATGTAAAATATTAAACATAGTGTCTAACAGCCGGGGCCACGTAATTATATCTTCGAAGAAGGGCCTCTGGAAAGCACACCTCAGACCATATATTTCTTTAAAGAACAGTCAAACTTTTGTTAAGTATATTGATTTGTGTATAAACACGTATATATATATATTTGTTTATGTGACTGTGAAACACTTCCAGAATATGTAAGATAATAGTATAGTTTACTGTTTTTTTTGTAGTTCCAATTTCCTCCTGTGTCGAGATTATATTGTACTACTAAAAAGTTACTGTGGTAGAGACAATAGAAAATCTTCGACAGTGGTCTTTCACAATTTTATAAGTCGCACTCGCGAAGTTCACTCGGTTTTTAATCACTGTAATAACTGGTGGCTTCTGGGGTTGAAGTTGATGGGTTCTGTATAGTCACATAGCAGGTGTAGTAGCCAAACTTGGAGATGGTAGGTACTGTCTGGATGTCAAGGTTCGATTTACAGATCGCAAAATTAACAGGATCGATTATGCACGATCGAAACAGTAGAGTCTTCAAGGTTGGTTTCAACATATGAGGGGCCACGTACCCCCCTGTTGAACGTAACTTTCTTCTTGGGAAAAAAACTGTACAAAATCTTCACAAAACCAAAGAATACGGTGTAAAACGGCCTCCGCTAGCGTGATTTACACAAATCGGGGCATA